TCTCAGCTCTTTCCTGTTGGGCCCCAGGCTTGTTCTCATCACAGTCTCACTGGTTGACATGTCTTTCCCTTGCTCCCAGTAGGCAAGGAAACATTTTGTGGGTCCTGATCCTTAGCATGGAGCGCTGCACATCTAAGCATAGTAGGTCATATTTTCCAGCACATCACACTCTCGTTTTTCCTTCTTTCTCATTAGTTTCTCCTACTTAGTCATTTTGCTGATTTCTCCTCATTTGCCCAACCTCATAAAATGAAGTTGCCCAAGGTTTAGTCCTTTGACCTCTTCTTGTAACTGTCGTCACTCCCGTGGTGACTTAACCGATCTACACACCGATGGCTCCAAATCAATATCCCTGGCCAGACATTTTCCCTGAACTTCAAACTTACATGTCTACATATCTATTCCACACTTTCACTGGGAGACTAAAAATTACCTCAGATTTATAGATCCACAACTCAACTCCAATTGACCCCTTCACATCTCTTTCATCTGCTGTCTTCTCTACCTGATAATGCATCAACCCCCAAACCATAAAGTCAAAATTGCCTCTCCTTTTTCTGTTATACCCCACATCCAATCTGTCATGTAATTTTGTGGGCTCTAAATTCAAAATATATTTAGGATTCATTTTCTGCTACCTCTACTCCTACCACCTTGGTCCAAGCCACCATAATCTCTCACCTACATTAGTGCAATAGCTTCCTAGTAGGTCTTCCTGGTTTTGCCCTTGACCTTTGTCTTAGGGTAGGCTGGATTGCCATAACAAATGGACCCCCAAATCTCAGTGGCTTAAAGAACAACACCTTTACTTCTTTCTTATGCAGTAGTCAAAGGCCGAGGTCAAGTCTTCAAAGCAGCTCCCCAGTGCACATTTAGTTCTCTGGCCAGTGGCAGCTCTGTTCTCTCCTAGTCAGATGACCATACCTGCATGCCAAGACAGGTAGGAAATATGGTCCCTGGCTGGCCAGCCGCTTCCACTGACAACTCTATACTATGGAAGAAGGAGAATGGACTTGGGTCACCTGCCAGTTATCTCTGCTATACTCCCTAGACATCATTCTCAACATAGCAGCCAGACTTTTGAACAAAACTCAGATGCCTTCCAAACTCACTCCCTTACCACCTTCAAGCCTTTGCTCAAATGCCATCTTTCAATAAGGCCTATATTTTTCTTCCTTGTTTAAAATTGTGACTCCCCACCCTACCTACTTACACTCTTGTACACGTTTCCCTGATTTTTCTTTTCTATCATTTATCACCTTTAAATATTCTACACAATTTACTTAATGTTGATCATCTATCTTGCTTGATAAATATAATCTCTCCTTTATTTACTGTTATTTTCCCAGTACTTAGAATAATGTCTGGCCCCATAATAGGTGTTCAATAAATATTTGTTGAATGACAGAACCAAGAGTGAGGCCCAATCCTTATAGGTGGTGATAACTCAAATTCCATCCCCTGATTAGGAACTACTACCTCTCAAATGTGCCAAATTGCACAAAGGGAATCAGGAAAGGGAGCACTAATATCCCCATTATAACAACAACAATAATCAAAATTAAATAATGTACATGTCTGCTACTAGTCACCAGAAGTGTCACCTTCATTGGGATTGGGGCACATTATGTAATAAATAGGGACATTGCCCCTGGTTCAGAGAATCACTTACCCTTCTTTTGATTCCTATCCCCTGTGGCCACCACCTCCTCTCTCAATAAATTAAATACTGTGGCTCATCTAAATGATTGCTACTGAATTCTTACCAAAGAAAATGAAAAACCCTCATGGTTATTACAGTCTGAAACAATAGAGATCACAATATCCAGGCCGCACATACCAGCTCAGAAATGAGCCAGATTTACTAAGCCCGTTGCCAGGTGAAGGATATAGTGTACTTTCTTGCCGTAATTTATATTTCCCCTGAGTTGCTTCATAGCTTAGGCAATGAGCTAACAGTCACTGAAAAGAAAGAGATGTGTCAATGCCTACAGTTGAGCTTAGGTTTTTTCCTTTGTCTAATTGGCCTGGGCCCTCTGTAGTTGCTCCTGAGACCTGCCTTAAGCTCCCCTAAGCTGGGAGAAATGCCTACAAGCTGTCACAATACCCACTGTCTTGTTTTCTCTGGCTGGAGAGCTTTGACAGTTACCAAATTCACAAATTTATTGTCTGAGTCAAGTCTTCAGTGAGCACACGTTGTTTTCAGAGACAGTGTCTTCTGTAGATATAAAGTAAAAAAGAATAACATAATTAATTTATTCATTCATTCAGGAAATATTGATTGAGCATTCACTATATGCCAAGCAGTGAACGTGGGGCATTCAATGATGAGCAAAATGGAATAGCATCTTCCCAGAGCTTGCAATTTAGTTGAAGATACTGACAAGTAAACAGACAATTACATATGAGTAATAAAGGCTGTGACCAAAGGTGCTATGCAAAAGAGAAACACTTAGCTGGAATTTATTTTATCAGAGATAGACTTTGGGGATCAAGGAAAGTGTCACGAAATAACCCTGCTACAAAGAATAGATCTAATATAAATACTTACTTAAGCATTGAGAAAGCAGGGTTTGAGATTAAGAAGAGTGGTTTCTATTATTTTGTGTTTTTCTTTTTTGTTTTTTGGTTTTTTTTTTAGTTTTTGTACTTGTTTTTGGCAGAGGATTCTCCTCAAAAATATTAATAAGATTAAGTTAGGTGTGCTGAGTTCAACGGGATTTCCAATAGATATATCTGTGTTACTGCCCTCATTTCTTTCTTGTTTGTTTTGCTTCCAGTCCCAATTTTTTTCTTTCTCCCCCCATTTTTTTTCCATAATAATTTCAATTTAGAGGACAAATATGCTGAGAAACAATGAGCTGCAATTTCATATCCTATTGGTTCTATTTCTACTGCAAATACTCTGAACTGGGTGTTTACTCTCTGGTGTTCATCACTGATCCAAGCCCTCCTAGTATAGCCCATTAGGTTATGAAATGCTACCCAATAGAAAATATGCTTAGTCCCCCTTTCTCCAAGATTTAATCTTATTATTCAAATAACAAGAAAGAAGACTCTTTGGGTATGAAAATTTGGGGAAGTTACAAACTAACAGGCATCAACTTGGCAGTAAAACAAAAACCCTTCATCCCTAAAGGCACACATTACAGGCTATGATTTCTAAAAGTTTAGTTATTATCATTTTAGGTAACATTGCCATAAAGGGATCTCTGCAAGAGTGTCAAAATTCTTCTCTCTCAAGATAAATTTTGTAAAGAGGTCTCCCTTTTCCGTGTTGTCTACAGAATCCCCATCTGGTGAATCCCAGACACTCAGGATAAGCCTGGCTGGCCATTACACCTGTACTTGAAAATATCATCTCATAAACCTGACTTCTAGAAGGTTCTTCTGCCTTCGAAAGTATTACTGAATCTTTATTTTATTCATTAAGAACTATTTAATAAGCATTTACTTTGTGCCACAGCCCTATTTGAAAGAAAAACAGGACCGAGTATTTACTATCCAATTGCACCTTTCTTAGAGGGAGAAACATCAAATGACTAGTATCAATAAATATTATAGGAGGACTCAGATATGGCCTCTTGCTGACAGTAGGGAACATTCTGGCTCATACCAAAAACAATTGGGCAAGACTAATCTAATCTCTAAATTTTAATTTTTAAGTTGATCAATATAATGCATAATTATTGTTTAAAACAAATAGCATTAAAAGACTTATATTAAAAATCAGCAGTCTCCTGTTCTACTCTCTCCCCACCAATCCCACTCCCTAGAGACACTTTCAACTTAATTAGCTGTCTCATTGACATTTACCTCTATATTTAAAGTAATATGCTTATAATTAGGGTGACATATACCAAGTTTGCTTATCAGTTCCAGTTTATGCCTGTTGTCTTGGCATAATTATTACCAATGATCTCCTTCACTCTCAAAAGTGTCTTGATGTGATAAATAATGACTGCTATACTTGCTATGAATCATCGTGATTTATTGCTAAAAACACAGGATTAGGGATCTATAAATTTCCGTTATGGTAGTTGAGCCCTCTTATACCCTCCACTTTCCCTTGAATTCATCCTCCCAATTGAGCTATATAATTTTGGGTAGAATTCTATAATCAATACTTATCCTATTTTGGCTAAGTATTATTCAATGTAACCCAAGTACTTCATTGTGATGTTTTCTTTCTTGTATAACTTTTTGTTTTTTTCTGGAGTTAATAATTGCCTCTTTTTAAAATTTAATTTTTGTGCACCTTTATTTTTTCCCAGATGCTTTAACAAAGCTGTGAAATGCATAAGCAACAATTATTCCAAATTCTCGAACACTTCAGATGGTATTTCCCTTGGCATCATTGTTTCTAGGGCCCTCTCTATCTTTCTGCTCCAAACCAGACCAGTTTGCTCTCTGGACCTGTCATCCTGGGACTTCTCTTCAAATTCTAAAAAAAATATTTTTTTTCCTCTGAATTAAAAACCCAGCCAAACAACCAAAGTGTAAAGGCAGAATAAATACATTCAAGGAATCAACAAATATACTCTAGCCAGCTACTGGAGGAATGACTTCAGGAAGTGAAATACATGAAGAAAGAAGCATAGCATACCGGTACCCTAATTAATAAAATCTCTGAATTTTTTGTTTCTTCCCGAGAAAGCATATACGCTACTTGCTACACTCTCCAAAAATGGCACAATTTAACACATTGGAACAAAAAAAAAATATAGGAAGATCCATCTTTCTTTTTTATCATGATCTAAAAACATAAATCCTTAGTAGTTGTGGAAATATGCTTGAAATTTAGACTGTGACAAGAACAAACATCTAAACCAAAAACAAATTTACTTGGCAAGGAGTGTAGGAAAGAAGGTATGTCATCTATCAACACTATTTGGTGATTCATGGATTTAAAAAAAATCCACTGAATATATGAAGTTGAGCTATGACTTAGCAAAAGATTTTGTTCTGATGTAATGATGCTAATTTTAAACTTTAAACAGCTTGAAAAGGGAGATGAATGTCTGAAATGAAAATCTCAACTGGTTCAGAGATAAAGAATATAAAATCAGTACTTTGGGAAGGAGCCACATTAGCCTTCCTCTCTGCAGACCTACTTGCATTCCAAGAATAATTTTCATCTCTATCAAAAACAGGTAAGCTCTTTTTATCAATACTCCTACCTCAACCAACTCATTGTGGTTATCCTATTCCTAAGGTTTTCTATGGAAATGGTAAACGAAAAAAAGCTATTGACCTTCTGCTACCCTATCCAAATTTGTCCATTCATGGAATAATCATTCATTGAGAATCCATATTTCTTAAAGTTCACATTTAACTTTCTTTTCCTCCTCTTAAATGTATTTAAGTTTTTACTATGTTACTTATTACTTGTCTTCACTTTCCTTATATCCTTTCTGGGGATAGCCTGAGGGTGACAATAGAATTTTCTTCTATGACTCTTCTCTTTTCCTTCTGTAGTCATGTTTCACCACAGACATTCACAGAGGGATGTACATATCCCCTTACTACTCATTGTGTCCAGATGTGTGGTTTAATTACATTATCAGTATGCACTGTATCAAGAATAGCCTTTAGGGCGCCTGGGTGGCTCAGTTGGTTAAGCAACTGCTTTCGGCTCGGGTCATGATCCCGGAGTCCTGGGATCGAGTCCCACATCGGGCTCCCGGCTCAGCGGGGAGCCTGCTTCTCCCTCAGACCCTCTCCCCTCTCATGCTGTTTCTCTCTCTCTCTTTCTCTCAAATAAATAAATAAATAAAATCTTTAAAAAAAAAAGAATAGCCTTTATATCAAATATAATAATGTAGACAGTAATCTACGAAAGGATCTTACAGCCATGAATTCAAGTTATTTTTATGATAACCCTCAAAATAGTTGGAACAAGTATTATTATTCTCTGAGGAAAGCACCTGGGGCCTAAAATATTAAGAGTCTGAAAAAATCAAAGGCATTGTCTTGTAGATATATTCCAATCTATTTTAGCTATTTTAGTTTGAAAATTCCTAAAGAGCAGGAACTTTATCATTGCAATTATTTATCTACTATATATTTATATCATTCCAATGTCAATTATTTATAGTTATATTATAATTATTTCTAATATTTGTATATAAAGATGAAAAAATCTTCAGTGTCTCAACGGTTGGTGAGAAAGAAAACAAAGTTACCCAAAGGCAACTGATTTAATTGAGGAAGATCTGAATGACTCAAAATGAGTAGTTGCAAAATAGACTTCTCCCATGTTGTATGATAAAGAAAGAGAAAAAAAGAAAGAAAAGATACTCAGAATAACAAATGCAAAAAGGACATATTAAGCTGTCTTTTTTAAAAGACACCCAAACAGAGCAGGAAAGTAATTTTTCATCACCTGTACTATGAAGATGAGCCACTTGGGGGAAAAGATTAGATCATAAAAAATTTCAAACATACCTGATGAATCAAAGTCAGTAATTTCAACAATGTAGCTCCTGAGGCAATGGATAAAGTCTAACTATTTAAAAAAGCTTATGCAATTGGATGATGGACTCAGGTAATCACCTTGGCATGCACACTTGTCTTTTATCTCAAGCCCTGAACCATAGATTATTAACCTCTTTCATAATGCTAGAGATTTTGAGAAGTAAACCTAAAAAAGAATAAAAATATAAATAAAGACAATTAAGAAATAAATCTACATATAATGTACACTTTTCTAACAAAGTGTACTGATCAGTGTTGTAATTATTATAATATTATTTTTGTTTTTCTGTTTCTCAATGTGTTTAGAACATTTAAGAAAATCTAATATATTAGACTTGTAGCTTCAGTTGAAAGAAAAAATGTTAAGTTTAGCATCAATATTTACATACAGAAATTTAGTTTGTTAAACATATGAAATTTTAATTTATAAGTTATTTTAGTAATGTGTGAATATTTGGAGCTGTATTAATTGTCTAAAGGTTTATAAATTAGACTTTAGACAAAGTATAAATGGTGAGCATTCCTTTCCTCACACAGGAGTCATTTGGGCATTAAAGAAGTTGGTAACAGTGATGAAATGCTACAAAGTGAGAAAACCCAAACTGTTTTCCATATCTCCCTATCTCATGAGAAACCAAAAAACTTAAGGTACTTCAATCACTGAAATGTGCAGATATCATGTACAACATCTAAAAATCAATGTCTCAAGGGAGAGTAGTGTATCTATATTGAACCATTACATTGAAGTGGGGAGAGGGAAATTTGGAATTCTAAATCACAATTGCCATTAATTTTGCAGGTAGTCCATATTATAGAATGTTCTCTTTAAGCAATCCTAGATTATACTGGTCTTCGATTATACTGTATTGAGTATAGTTTTTTTGCCCATCAACATGAAAATTTTAGGTCATGGCAATTTGTATTTAAAATTCATGTAAGATTTACAAATTAATTTTTTTAAAAAAATCTATCTTTAGGCTCTAAAGCAGTTGATCTAGAAAAATAATAGTGCAAAGCTCAAAGGACCGAACTGAATGATTCCTCAGGGTGAATGTGAAGAATCCTGTGGCCTTATGATACTTTTTGCTTTTTATACTTTGCTTGATGACAGAAACTGAAGGAAACTCTGCCCAGTGAGTTTGAACCATGAAAATTAGAAAAATCTAGTTTGTGCCAATAGTTTTGGAATACAGGCAGGAGTGAAAATATGAGGATACTTAAAAATTATTTGCATCTAAAAATGGAAAAATAAATAATAGGTTGCCCATAAGTTACAAGTGGCTAATAACATAGTACATGATATTAACAAATAGACCATATCGATGCAAAATTGCAAAATTGCCATTCTCCATATTTAAGAACGGTGATTTTTTTTTTTCTAAAAATAAAACCTGAAAGTTTTGCTGATGGTGCTTGGAGTCATTGCTGGAATAGTTATAGTGGTTGCCCACAATCTATGACTCACCTAGGAAATAAGGCCAATGGAAGTGTATTCAGCACATTCAAACAAACAAAAACAAACAAACAAAAAACATACACACACACCTTAGGGTTCATACATACACCTAGAAAATAAAGACAAAGTAAAAATGTGGTACCAACCTCTCAAGCACCATACTGCTTTTTGGCTATTTCTTTAGGCTATGTTCTTGATCTATATCTGAAGGTGAAGTGTCCTGGAGAAATATGGTGTCAGGGGGACAGGATGAGTAGGTGGGTAGGTTGAAACAGGTGGTGGAGAAAAGGAGATATACACTGTACTTAGGATGACCAGCATTGCCCTGGGGCCAGCTCTGATGAGGTTCCAATGGCTGACATGTAGCAGATAAATCTGACTCATGCACCATGTGGCTAATGTCACTCTAGGAGATTGCATTCAGGACCAACTCCTATGGCCTCTATTCCATTTTGGGTCATTGTTATTAGATTCGGTTAAGCGTCTGCCTTCAGTCCAGGTCATGATCCCAGGGTCCTGGGATGGAGCCCCACATCTGGCTCCCTGCCAGCAGGAGCCTGCTGCTCCCCCTGCTTGTGTGCTCTCTCTCTCTCTCTTTCTGTCAAATGGATAAATAAAATCTTTAAAAAAAAGATTCATCTTTAGAGCAGTTCCATATTGGTCATATTGCCCATGTTTCTCTATTTCTGGTTTTTTGTTTCCAGATCCATACAGCATTACATTCTGAAATATTACTATTGCCAGCCTGTCATAAAGATATATTCATTTTCACTGTCAGTTATAAAGCGATCATGAATTTTACTTTATAACTTTTTCGTTTTGAAACAGTCTTTCTATTTTGTGACAACAGGTAACATTTGCATATTTTTTGTCTACCCTCACTCCCACTGTTTGAGTCTTACAGGGCATTTATATATTTTTAAATGTTCACCATCAGTCCTTGGGCTGAAATTTTTCTAGTCATGATTTGATTTTTATGAAATTTATCCTCTAGTAAATGCCTCAAAAAAGGCTAAAAAAAAAAAGGGCACATAATTCCCTAAATTCCTTAAATTGATTTTTCTATATGCTTGATATTTGAAGGAGACCTTAGCTGGATATAAAATACTTGCTTCACAATTCCTTTCACTAAGCTTTTAAAAAATGTTGTTTTATTGTTGCCTAGCTTTTTATGTTGGTTTTGAAATGTCTGATGTTGGTCTAATTCTTTTGTCTCCGTAAGTTATTTGATATTTCTGCCTGGAGACCTTGATGGTTTATACTTGTCTTTGAAATCTATTGAGTTTTACTAGAATATGTCTTAAGAGTTTAATCATTCTGGATTAATTTTTCCTGGTACCCACTGAACTCTCTGAATGTATAGATGTAAGTCTTTTTTCATTCTATAAAGTGATCTTGAATTATAGTTTAAAATACTAGCTCTGTTGGGGCACTTGGGTGGCTCAGTCAGTTAAGCGTCCAACTCTTGATTTCAGCTTAGGTCATGATCTCAGGGTCATGAGAATGAGCCTCATGTTGGGCTCCATGCTCAGCAGGGAGTCTGCTTGGGATACTCTCTCTCTCTCTTTCTCTTCCTCTGTCCCATCCCCCCATTCCCTTGCTCATGTGCTCTCTCTCACTCTCTCTCAAAAAATTAAATATTAGCTCTGCTTTATTGTTTTTTTCTTCAGGGTCTCTGTTAACACGAAAATTATTCCCTTTTTGCCTGTCTTACAAGTCTGCTGCTTTCCCACTGGTCCTTTTTACTGCTTTATTTAGGCCATTTTCATTTTCTCCAGGGTTTCCTCGCCCTCTTTCAATACCCCTTATTAAATTGTTTGAGTCTATTCTCTCTTGGGCAACTTGCAATTTATTCTTTATTTTTGAGATAATTTTGTCTTTTTCTTCCATTGTTTTCCTAAATGCAATCAACCCTTTTCATTTATTCTGATTTTGCCCATTTTATTTTTAGTTTTTGTACTTCTAATTTATTATTTATTTATTTATTTTAATTTAATTTTATTATGTTATGTTAGTCACCATACAATACATCATTAGTTTTTGATGTGGTGATCCATGATTCATTGTTTTTATATAACACCCAGTGCTCCATGCATTACATGCCCTCCTTAATACCCATCACCGGACTAACCCATTCCCCCCCTTCCCTCTAAAACCCTGTTTGTTTCTCAGAGTCCATAGTCTCTCATGGTTCATCTCTCCCTCCAATTTCCCCCCATT